TTTCTTACCATGCACTTCCAAGTACTCTGCCGTCTCATCCTTTATAAGGGACTTTAAGATTTTGCCAACAATTGAGGTCAGGCTACCTGGACTGTAGTTTCCTGTCTCTACCTCCCTCCTTTCTTAAACAGGGGTGTTGCATTAACCATTTTCCAGTCATCTGGGACCATCCCTGACTCCAGTGATTTCTGAAAGATCACCACTAATGCCTCTACAATCTCCTCAGCTGTCTCCTTTAGAACTCTGGGGTGTAGTCCATCCGGTCTTGGTCATTTATCACTTTCAGACGTTTTAGTTTCTACAGCCCCTTCTCTTTAGTGATGGCCGGTGCATTCACTTCTGCTCCATATCTCTCTTCAAGTTCTGGTATGCTGCTGGTGTCTTCCACTCTGAAAGATGATGCAAGGTACTTATTCAGTTCATCTGCCATTTCCTTGTTCCTCATTACTACTTCTTCAGTCTCATTTTCCAGTTGTCCAATATCCATTCTTGCCTCTCTATAACCTTTTACATATCTAAAAAAATCCCCTGCAGTCTTCTTTTATGTTACTAGCCAACTTACTCTCATTTCATTTTATCCATTCTTATTGTTTATTTTAAGTTATCCTCTGCTGGTTTTTAAAGGCTTCCCAATCCCTTGGCTTCTGCTAATCTTCACCACATTGCACCTTTTTTCTATTGCTTTTATGTTCTTCTCGAATTTCCTTGTCAACCATGGTTGCCTCATTCTCGCCTTTGTACGCTTCTTCTTTCTTGGGATGATTTTCTGCTGTGCCTCGCGTATTACCCCAGAAAATCCCGTTATTTCTGCTGACCTGCCTTCCCTGCTAGGCTCCCCCTTCTGATCACCTCTGGCCAGCTCCTCCGTCATGTCTTTGTTGTTACCTTTACTCAATTGTAATACTGTTAGATCTGATTCAGTCTTCTCCCTCTCAAACTGCAAGGTCAACTCTATTATATCATGGTCACTGCCTCCTGGAGGTTCCTTCACCTTGCGCTCCCTAATCAAATCTGCCTCATTACACATCACTCAATTCAGAATTACCTGTTCCTTGGTGGGTTCTACCACAAGCAGCTCCAAAAAAAATCTTGTAGACATTCCAAAAATTAATTTATTGAGAGCCACCGCCAGCTTGATTTTTCCAGGCTATCTGCATATTGAAGTTCCCCATGATTATTGCAATAGTGTCTTTCTTACATGCCTTTTCTATCTCCTGATTTATTTTCTTCTCCACAGCCCAATGATTGCTAGGAGGCTTCTACACAAACTCCATCAGTGTATTTTTTCCCTTTGTGGTTCCTTAACTCTATCCAAACGGATTCTATGCCTTCCAACTCTATCTCACTTCTCACTGTCAATTTAATTTCATTTCTTACTGACATTGCAATCCCGCACCCCCGACCCTCTGCCTGTCTTTTCATAGGACGTGTGTCCTTGAATATTTAGTTTCCAGGCCTGATCCCCCTGCAGCCTCGTCTTTATGATACCTACAACATTGTACCTGTCAATTTCAACCAGTGTTACAAGCTCTTTTACCTTATTTCATATACTGTGTGTATTTAAGTACAGCACCCTCAGTCCTGCGTTGACTGCCACTCTTCTCGTTGTTGTCCCCTTACCTGCTGTGCCTGAAGTTAAATTTCTGATCCTTTCCATAATTTCTGTCCGATTACTTGTTGTGGAAACTTTAACCTGTACTGAGCCCTCACTCTCTTGAATGTTTCCATAACTTTTCACGCAACTGAACCCACCTCACCATGATTTAATTTAATGTCCTATCCACAGATCCTAGTTATACAATTTGCCAGGACTGTGGTCCTAGCATCATTCATGTGGGGCCCATCCCATTGGAATAGCTCCAACTTCCCCAGTGATGATGGCAATGTCCAAAGAACTTGAACTTTTCTCTCCCACACCAATCTTTCAGTCACACATTTACCTCTGTAATCTTGTTCACTCTATGCGAATTTCGTTATGGCTGAGGTTGTAATACAGAGATTATTACCTTTCTCGTTGATTTTTAAAAAAAATTTAGCCCCAAGCTGCAAGTTCCTCTGCAGCCCAGATGAGTTTTCTTGAACACAGACACCATGTAGGCAACACAGCCTTTGGGATTCTTGATTCTGGCAACAGAGAAGTGTGTCTATTCCCCTGACCACACTATCTTCAATTACAACTATATTTCTCTTTTATCACCCCTCTTGAATGGCTCCTTCTACCACACTGCTGTGGTCAGTTTACTTATCCTCTCTTCACCCCCATTTTCATCCACACAGGGAGCAAGAATCTCAAACTGTTAGACAATCTGAAGGACTGAGGTACCTTCAGCTTGTCTAACAGGGTCATTCAATGTCGTGGTTACAGAAACCTAACTCTGTAACATACCTTTGGCCCATATTCCTGAATACCTTTGCTGAACGAAAGTTTACTTATCTCAGATTTAAAACTAACAACTGAGTGATTGAGCATTTTTGGAAGATAGTTCCAAACCTTTACTACCTCTTCACCACACTTTTTGTTTGGAAGTGATTCCTAACATCTCTCCTGCGCAGTGTATACTCCGAAGTTCGACGTTAAATTGGAGGAAATTTCTAATCATCCAGCACTGGATGTCAGGGCATTGTGTGACTTAGAAGGAGCTTTGAGGTGGCGATGGTTACATATGACTAATCTCCTGGTCCTTTGTGGTAGTGGAATTGGCTAGTTTGGGACGTTGTGCTGAAGTTTTGGTTTACCTGTTGGTCCCTCTCATTCACCATCTCCTCCTTCCAGACCCCTCCCTTCTCCCCGACATCCCCCAAACCCCACTATCCCGTGGAGGGCAGAGTCTGTACGACCAAATTGGATGGGAGGTTCCCTCACTGAAGGACATCAATGAACTAATTGGGATTTTATGACAATTGGTAGCTTTAATGGTCCCCTTTTCTGAGTGCCCAGCCCCACAAAAAACCAGATTAATTCAAATCAATTTCACATCCTACTCCGTTACACGTAAAATGTTAGAGACTGTTCTACTGTATAGAAATTGGAATAACAGAGCATTTAGAAACGCATCATAGAAACAAACAGAGTCAGCACGGTTTTGTGAAGGGAAGTCACAGCTGACAATTTTTATTAAAATATTTTCAGTTGATAATAAGCAAAATGACGGGGAAACCAATGGTTGAAATATTTTTGAATTTTCAAAAAGCATTCCGTAAGATATTTTATATGAAACTACTTCATACATTAGAATCCCATGAACCCACACTTTTTGGGGGTATGTATTAGTCAAGGATATTGATCAAGTATTGGATAATGAATTGAAGGCAGAGAGTAGAGATAAAGAGGGCAATTTCACAATGGCAAATTGTAACTTGTGGAGTCTCAGAGGGATCAATACTGGGGCTACAATTATTTACAACATATTCTAATCACCTGGACGACACAAAATAGATGGAGGTAAGTAGTGATGACAGCGCAATAAAATTACAGAGGGAAAGAAACAGGATTAGCAAGTGGACAAAAATTCAGCGGATGGAATATAATGTGGGAAAAATTGAGGTTTCATGCATTTTGGCAGGAGTATTAAGAGAGGTGAATATTATGTAACTGGGAGGAAAATGCTGCAGAAAGCTGCAGCACAGAGAACATTGCGGGTCCGTGTGCTTGAAAGATGAAAAACTAGCAAGCAAGTTCAGGTAATCAGGAAGGTAAATGATCTGTTGGCCTTTATTTAAAAGGAATGGGGATACCTTGCTAAAATTATACATGATACTAGTCCGATCACACCTAGAATGCTGTGAACAGTTTTCGTCCCCTTATTTTAGGAAAGGCAATCTAGAGCATTTTAAGAAGATTAATCCCGGACATGGGAGGATTTTCTCATGGGAGGATTGAGCAGCTGCTCCTGTACTCATTGGAGCTTAGAACAATGCGACAACACCTTACTAAAAGGCATAAGATTCTGAGGGGCTTTACAGGATAGATTCAGGGATAATGTTTCTCCTTTGAGGATTGACGACTGGAGGACATAATCCCAGCGTAAAGAATTATCTATTTAAGACAGATGTGGAGGAATTCCTTCTTTTGATGTCCGGATTTTTGGTATTCTTAATTGCAGAGGGCTGTAGAGACTGGCTGCTCAGTGTATTCAACGCTTATATAATCACTAATGGATTGAGGGCAAGGGGATAAGACAAGAAAGTGAATTTGAGGATTATCAGATCAGCCATGATCTCATTGAATGGTGAGAGCTGACTCGATGGGTTGAATTGCCTACTTCTGCTCCTACATCTTATGGTTTCATTGTTGTTTTCTTTATCTGGGTTTTCACTTCCTTCCATTTTTCTTTTTTCAACTAATTTTGCAGGGTATTAGCACAGTAAGATTTGCAGTGAGGAGACTTAAAACCAAATATCACTTCAGAATGTGACAAAGTTGCCAATTTATTGTAGCCTGAATATCATTGGATTTTGAACATGGAAGGGAAAAACACCATTCACAGTGGAGGGAAACCATACATGTGTTGTACATGCAGACAAGGTTTCAGCAGATCATCTGTCCTGTCAGAACATAAAAACAGTCACACTGGGGACAGGCCATTTGTCTGTTCCGAGTGTGGGAAAGGATTCACTCAGTCGTTCACCCTGCTGAAACACCAGCGAATTCACACAGAGCAAAGGCCTTTTCAATGCTCAGATTGTGGGAAGGGCTGTAAAGGCACTGGGGCGCTGATATTCTATCAGCGTGTTCACAGTGACGAGAGACCCTTCATGTTCTCGCATTGTAGGTCTGGCTTCAAGCAACTATCTGACCTCATTGAGCACCAGCGGGTTCACACTGGGGATAGGCCTGCTCAGAATGTGGGAGGACATTCGCTCGGAAATTAACCCTACTGAAACACCTGCAATTTCACAAAGAGGACAGACCTTATAAATGCCCAGACTGTGCCCAGTGCTATAAAAGCTCTGGGGCCCTCATATTCCATCAACGTGTTCAAAATGATGAGAAACTCTTCATGTGCTCTCACTGTGGGGCTGGGTTCAGACAATCATGTGATCTTCATAATCACCAGCAGATTCACACTGGGGAAAGACCATTCACCTGCTCTCAATGTGGGAAGACATTTGCTCAGAAATCCACCCTGCTCAAACATCAGCGAATTCACACAGAGGATCGACCTTATAAATGCCCAGACTGTGCTAAGTGCTGTAAAAGTTCTGGGGTTCTGATGTCCCATCAACGTGTTCACACTGACGAGAGACCATTCAGGTGCCGTCACTGTGGGAGTCGGTTTAAGTGGTCATCCCAACTCACTGTGCACAAGTGATCTCACACTGAGGAGAGGCCATTCACCTGCACTGACTGTGGGAAGGCATTTGCTCAGAAATCCAACCTGCTGAAACGCCAACAGGTTCTCACAGAGGAGAGACCTTCTCAGTGTCCAGAATGTGGGAAGTGCTACAAAATCTCAGTGGATCTGGTGACCCATCAACGTGTTCACGCCAATGAGAAACCGTTCAGGTGCTCTCACTGTGGGGCTGGGTTCAAGTGGTTAACCCAACTCACTATACATCAGCGATCTGACACTGGGGAGAGGCAGTTCACTTGCACTGAGTGTGGGAAGAGATTTGCTGTGAAATCCAACCGGCAAGAAACACCGGCAAGTTGATGAGTAATAACAGTGACTGTTTTTTACTGTGAACATATCCCTGCTTCACAGTGCTTCATCCCTGCTTCTTTCAGCCAGAAGATCTGATTCCAAGTCCCACCTGTCATGGAGCTATGCCAAAGACTTTATTTTTTTTCTTAATTGATGAGCGAATTATGTCCATTGGGGTCTAACGATGCTGAAGTTAATAAACTCCTACTGAATTAAAGGGAGGACCATTCAGGATGATAGTGAACTAAATCCGCTTTGTGTATCAAGCCTTTTTAATATCTTTAATCACTAAGTGCTCTTTGAAGTGATTTCCCTCTGACTGAAGGAATTGGAATTTGCTGTTAATCACGTCCAGCACATAATTAGATTAATTGTGGTCTTTTTCATTTGACCTTTATGAATTCCAGCCGAGTTATAGGTGTTTACAAAGGAATTATATTAGGTTCATGTTAAACACGCAGTCTGATGAAACTTTTTAATGTCCTCAGCACTTTCTTTTGAAATGTTTTTCCTCCTATCTCCTCCATGTTGTGATGAGCTCATGGAGCTTCTTTGTCATTCAGATTGAGACAATTCTGCTAGAATGATTGTGAATGGCATGAGATAGAGTGGAAAGTGCGAAGCTTTTTCCCAGGGAAGAAGGTTCAATTACTTGGGGACACAGGTTAAGGTGCGAGGAGAAAAGTTTTGAAAGAAATGTGAGAGGCAAGTATTTCACACAAAGGGTGGTGAGTGCCTGGAACGCATTGCCAGAAGATGTGGTGTAAGCGAACACAATAGCAGCATTTAAGAAGCACCTGGACGAATACATGAATAGGAAGTGAATAGACAGATGTGGATCCTGTAAGTGAAAACAATATTAATACAGAAAGGCAAAATGTGTTGGCACAGGTTTAGAGGGCTGAAGGGCCTGTTCCTGTGCTGTATTGTTCTTTGTTCTAATCAGAGCAGCTGCCTCTTCCACGTCCCTCCTGACTCTGAAACTATCTCTGAACTTCCACCTTGATGCAAGTTCAGTGCTCAGACATTCTGCAATTTCTCTCCTACATCCAGAGCTCCTCACATCCGTGACATGCACCTCCTAGTCCTTTGACCCCCTTTTCCACTCAGTCGCTGAGCATCCATCCTTCCCCCATTCACTGATGTTGTTAACAATTCTTGCTCTTGTTTGGTATGGTGCTGTCACTTTATATTCACTATCATCATCCATCCCGTGAAAACCAACTTGCCCTCATCTACAACCTTCGTTTCCTGTCCAAAGACCTGGAACTTGGTGACCACCAAGGATCTATTGATGGCTCTTCCTATTGTCTTCTAGACACCACCTCGAGGTAAGCTCATCCAAAGATAGTGTATTAGTTTTCATACATCCATTGACATTGCCCAACTCTATCACATCACAGAACCCAACGTCTCCATTAATTACACCACTGTTGCTAAATAATTAGACTGTGTATTCCACATCCACTGGATGTTTTATTTATTCATGCACAGGATGTGCACATCACTGGCTCATCCAGTGTTAATTGACCATCCATAGCAGTTAAGAGTCAACTGAATTGTCGTGGATCTGGAGCCACATGTAGACCAGACTGGTTATGGACATGGTTTCCTTCCCTAAAAGGGCATTAGTGTAACAGGTGGGCTTTTCCAACAACCAACTATGGTTTTATAGTCATCATTAGATTTTTATATCCAGATTTTTATTGAACTCAAATTCCACCATCTGCCAGAGGAGGAATAGAAACCATACTCCCAGAATATAACCTGGCTCTCTGCATTAATAGACTGGCGATAACACCACAAAGCATCACCTCCATGCGCAGAAATTTGCTCCAGTTAAAAATTATGACAATCGCTGCTTAATTCTGCTCCCTGAGTAGTGAGTTCATCCCTCTACAGGGGAATTGATGTTGAACCACACTGTTAACAATCTGGGTCTCATGTTTAACCACACACAATGAGCTCCTCACCACGTTTCCACACCAATCCGAACTCTGGATATTTGAAGCTCCATTATTTCTCATGTTTTCACCATATCGCGGGTGCTCCTAAAACCTTTGTCCATACCTGTGTTACCCTTAGAGTTGATTAGTCTAATACATTCCTGTTCAGCCTCTTATACTTACCTACGACCCCACCCAGAAACGTGAGATCACCAAAACTCTGCTGACTGTGTACTTGCTCACCCCAAGTCCCATTCACTCTTGAACTCCACATTCACTGACCAAATTTAATCCTGGTCATGCAAAGAGCAAGCTGTAAAATTTACATCTGCTTTGTAAGACCCTCCATGGCCTTGTCCCTCCTGCTTACAGGAATCTCAAATTCCTTACTCTCTGTGATATCTGTTCATTTGGCTGTGTTACTGCATGCGTCTGTTAGCTCCACTTAACGCTTGAAATACCTGCAGTCCTCTCATTCTGCCCTCTTTGGAATCACTGATTGTCATTAATCCATTATGGCCTTGCCTCAGCAGGAAGCTCTGACATTCCACCTCTAAACCTGTCCACCGCTGTCCTTGTTTAACAAATGTATTCAAATCTTGTACAAAAACAAAGTAGCTGGAAAAGCATAGCAAGTCTGGCAGCATCTGTGAAGGAGAAAACAGAGTTAACGTTTCGGGTCCGGTGACCCTTCCTCAGAACTGGCTGGGAAAACGTCAGTTTATAGCAGAAAATAAGCAGGTGGATGGGGTAGGGAGTAAATGATAAGATAGAGCCCAAAGAGAGAGAAAGACAATTGGAAAGACAAAGGAGTTGCTCATGATCAGGCTGGGAGGGTGAGTAGTTGTTAATGGGGACTGTTACTGACTAACAACAGCGGGTGTGTAGTGGCAGGCTATGTGGAAACAAGGCCTGGTGTGTGGGGTGGGGGGCTGGGACATGGGAGAGTTTAGGTCCTAAAATTATTGAACTCAACATGGAGTCCAGAGGGCTGTATGGTCCCCAAGCGGAAAATGAGGTGTTGTTCCTCCAGCTTGCGTTGGGCTTCACTGGAACACTGTAGCAAGATAGAGACAGAGATGTTGGCCAGGAAGCAAGCTGGTGTATTGAAGTGGCAGGCAACAGGTAGTTCAGGGACGTTTTTGCGAGCAGAACATAAATGTTCTGCGAAGCGTTCGCCAAGTCTACGCTTCGTTTCCCCAGTGTAGAGGAGACCACATTGTGAGCAGCGAATGCAGAAGACTAGATTCTTGGAAGTGCAGGTGAATTGTTGCTTCTCCTGAAAGGTATGTTTGGGCCCTTGATTCTGGGGAGGGAGGAGGTAAATGCGCAGGTGTTGCACCTTCGCCGGTTAGAGGGGAAGGTGCCATATAGCTGTGGGGAGGTGTTGGGGGTGATGGAAGTGTGGACCAGGGTGTCCTGGAGGGAATGTTCCCTGTGGAAGGCGGACAAGGGAGGGGAGGGAATATGTGTCTGGTGGTGGCATCTTGCTGGAGGTAATGGAAATGGCACCTGACGATCTTCTGGATGTGGATGCTGGTGGGCTGGTAGGTAAGGATAAGGGGAACCCTATCGCTGTTGCGGGAGGGAAGAGAGGGGGTGAGGGCTGAAGTGCGGGAGATGGGTCGGACCTGGTTGAGGGCCCTGTTGACAACGGAGCTGGGAAATCTTCGGTTGAGGAAGAATGTGGACATTTCGGAGGCTCCCTTGTCGAAGTTGGCCTCATCTGAACATCTGCGATGGAGACGGAGGAACTGAGAGAATGGGATGGAGTCTTGACAGTAAGTGAAGTGTGAAGATGTATAGTCCAGGTAGCTGTGGGAGTCAGTAGATTTGTAATGGATATTAGTGGCCAGTCTATTCCCAGAAATGGAAACAGAAATGTCGAGGAAGGGAAGGGAGGAGTCAGAGATAGACCAGGTTAAAGTGAGGACAGAGTGGAAATTGGAGGCGAAATTGATGAAGTTTTCCAATTCCAGACGAGAGAGGGAAGCAGCACCAATGATATCATCGTTGTATCGGATAAAGAGTAGTGGGTGGGGGCCGGAATTGGACTGGAACAAGGAATGTTCCACGTAACCCACGAAGAGACAGGCATAACTAGGGCCCATGCGGGTACCCATGGCAACCACTCTTACCTGAAGAAAGTGAGAGGAGTTGTAAAAGACCTTGTTGAGGGTTAGGACAAGCTCGGCCAAGCGGAGGAGGGTGGTGGTGGGTGGGGATGGCTCAGGTCTTTGCTCCAGGAAGAAGCGGGGAGCCCTGAGACCCTCCTGGTGGGGAATGGATGTGTGAACGGATTGCACATCCATGGTAAAGAGGAAGTGGCTGAAGCCGGTAAACTGGAAGGTTTGAAACTGGCGTAAGGCGTCAGATGAATCATGGATGTATGTGGGTAGGGATTGGATCAGTGGGGAGAAAACTGAATCAAGGTCGGAAGAGATGAGTTCTGTGGGTCATGAGCAGGCTGAAACAATGGGTCTACCTGGACAGTCCTGTTTGTGGATTTTTGGCAGGAGTTGGAAACGAGCTGTGCGTGGTTGGGGGACTATTAGCTTGGAAGCGAAGGGGGGAGATCACCGGATGAAATGAGATCCGTAACCGTAGTGGATACAATGGCCTGATGTGCCATGGTGGGGTCATGGTCCGGGGGAATGTAGGAGGAGGTATCCGAGAGCTGGCGCTCAGCCTCTGCAAGGTCGAGGTCAGTACACCAGACTACAACAACACCACCCTTATCGGCAGGTTTATTGACAAAGTCAGCGTGAGATCTGAGTGCACGGAGTGCAGTCAGTTCGGAGAGAGATAGGTTGGGTTTGGTGAGAGGGGCAGTGAAATTGAGGCAACTAATGTCACGTCGACAGTTCTCAATGAAAAGATTGAGTGCAGGTGAAAGGCCGGAGGGAGGGGTCCAGGTGGAGAGAGAGTGTTGGAGTTGGACAAAAGGTCTGTGGGACGGGGAGAGGACTCTTGTCCAAAGAAATGAGCACAGAGGCGAAGACGGCGGAAGAAGAGTTCGGTGTCATGTCTTGCCCGAAATTCGTTGTTGTGGGGACGCAGAGG